CCCCCCCGACCTTGACTTGTCCTTTATTAGAAGGCTGCCAAAGTCTGGGAGCTGAGCTGGAGGAATGTGGGGCAGCTGAAGGAAAGAGTCCTTCACACTGACGCCTTTTGTGTTGCAGGGTGTAAATGGCTGAGGCTCTCACTGGAATGCAAATGCGTGTTTTTCTGCTGATCTGAGCCACTTTTTTCCCAGTAAACAAGAGCTCTGCATGTTTTAAAGGCTGCTTTCATCTGACATTTTGTCGTGGCTTAGTGCGAAGGTGATGCTGATCTCAGTGATTCGGTGATAGTGCATCACAGCGAGCACGGACAGCACGCGGGGCTGGGGAAGGACGTGCATCCCCCTTGTCGAGGTGGGGAACAGGGATTGAGAGAAGCAATGGTGGAGCTGGGCGATTCCCAGCCTTCTGAGTGGTGATCATCCTGGGTTAGGCCAGGGCCTCCCAGCCATGTCTCAGGACGCTTCCATGCGCTCATCTTGGTCGCGTTCCCCAGTGAGATACTCTCCAGCCAATGGAGGTGTCACTGTCCCTTTCTTGAGCTCAGAGTACTCTGTTTTGTGCATCCCCTGCCTGATTTGCCACTTGATTGAACAAAAGAGCCAGTTCTCATCACCAGGGCATGGGATCGCCCTAGTTCCTACACCACGTACCATAACGTTTCAACATTCACCAAGCCTGGGGGAAAAAGCACCCCAAAGCGTTACGACAGCATTTACCCGAGAGCCCCAGTTCTGGTCCCTGCTCTTAAATGCCCCATTTTAGGCACTGAAGCAACTCTTCTTATCCTCTGATTGCTGGTTTGGGCCTGGAGCAGGACCTGGGTGGTGGAAAACCTGTCTGCTGTGTGGGTGGGACGTGGGGATGCCAGGTGGGAGCAACAGGAGTCAGCAGGAGAAGGCGCTTGAGTTCAGTCTTCCTGTAAGCCATGGAGCTTCCGGATCCAAGGGCTAAATCCAAGTGTACCTCCCCCAGAAGGAATGTCCCCTCTCACTTCTCGGCAAGCACAACTCCGCTGCAGAAATGTCCCACCACCACTAACATTAGCTGTTTTCGAAGAGATGAAGTGTTTTGCCTCCAGCAGGTAGGAAAAAAGGGGAGGCCAACCACTAACAACAGCCAGAGATGGAGACTTGAGCATCTCGTTTCCTCCTAGAGCTGCCTGTCAGAGGATCCCGCGTGTCCCCAGCAGTAAGTCACAGCAGCTTCTTGGCTGCTGTAAATCACGCCAGCAAGGTTGATATGTGGAAGCCCAGTTGGCATTGCCACCCATAGTTCCTACCCCGCAGAGCCAGCACCGGCTGCTCCAGGAGAGGCTCGGATGGTTGTGTCACGGGGTAAAGTACAGGCAGGCTCTCCCTGCAGGTTCATCTGACGCGTGTTACAGTCCGTCAGCGTGTCACCTATATCTGAGCTCATCGGTCTTACAACATGCCGGGGGGAGGACACGCACCCTGAACCCACCGTGTCTCTCCCCACCGGCTCTAACAGCAGCCAGGACGCAGGGTCCTGTGCAGGCGTCCGCGTTGCTGACGCTGGCTTTGGGGGAGGTGGGGGCCGTGCTGGCAGAGCACCCAAAACCTCCTGCTCTGTGTCCCTCTCAGCCTCCCAGAAGAACTTAGGTCAGGAAGGACTGCTGGAGGTCACCTAGTCCAAACCCCTACTCAAAGCAGGGCAGGCAGGGGCTGCCTCGGTTTTGCGTGTCAGTGCCGGATGCCTGAAGCAGGGTTTAATCCCCCTCGCTGTGAATTATTTTTTCCCCTTCCATCTAGACTGATTTTCCCCTGCTCTGTGTCCCTCTCAGCCTCCCAGAAGAACTTAGGTCAGGAAGGACTGCTGGAGGTCACCTAGTCCAAACCCCTACTCAAAGCAGGGCAGGCAGGGGCTGCCTCGGTTTTGCGTGTCAGTGCCGGATGCCTGAAGCAGGGTTTAATCCCCCTCGCTGTGAATTATTTTTTCCCCTTCCATCTAGACTGATTTTCCCCTGCCGCTTCCCGCCCCATGCTGGGCACGTCCGTGTCAGGAGGGGGGGGGGGGTTCTTTTTCCTCTCGGAAATTTCCGTTTCT